AGTAGAGTTGGGCCCAACTCACGTAAACAAGAAAAAGACCCAGTCTTATCGAGATTCAAGTTGGAGGAAAGGGCTGGACCCAACTTACCAAAACAAGAAAAATATCCAGTCCCATTGATATCGAATTGGAGTTGGAGAGAGGGCTGCAACGAACTTACCAAAACAACAAAAACATCAGCTCAAATTGAGAATTTCCACTCTCTTTTTTGCCAACCAGAAACCAACATTTCGTTTGGTAGTCCTATTATTTTTAACCTATGGAAAATTTTATTTATTATCGAGAAGCCGTACAGCATTTATACTTGGGAAACATTTATTACCAACAAATCAAGTAATTCATATATAAATCTTTTTTTAATTAAAATAAAAAATTTTAAATTTAAGTTGTATACATGCAAATGGGATGGAGTGTGATTAAAGGGTGCAGATGGTTGCAATGAAGATACAATGCAAATAAGGGGAATACTAATTAAGGTGGAGAATGTATCACGGTGAAAACTTCAGAAAGAGCTAACCACTTCCATATAGAAAATGCCTCCAAATACACTAATGCTAGCTTTTAGCATTTTCAAAAATAAGAATTTTTTAGTCATCTTCGAAGTTATATTCAGGTTTTAAGTATTGGTATCATTACGAAAACCCAACAAATTGCCTAGGCACAGTTGCTTAATAGGCTTATTAGTCAAAAAAATACAAACCTGTTGCAGTGTTGAAGAATAAGCAGTTAATCACTAAAATAATATAGCTCCTAGTCCCCAACTCTATCGAGGATCTATATCGGAAATTGAAACGTGGTTCACTGTGAATTGAGCTGGGCGATTTGTAGATGCCTCTAGCTCCATGACAGAGTGCATATAATATGCTGGTTTTAATGGCAATGGTAGAGATCCAGGGCTGCTGCTAAGCATTAGAACAACAGAAGCCATGGTTGGTCTTCTAGCAACATCTTCCTGGACACATAGTAGGCCTATTTGGATACATCTCATCATTTCACCGCTAGAACCATCCCTCAGAATGGGATCTATTAAATTTTGAGCAGTCCCTTCCATCCAATTTTTCCATGCCTGCAAAGATTTAGTGATGTGTGGATAGTTAAAGGAGAGTTCTACACAATTTCTCAAATTCATTTCAATAAGTTTCATCAACTCCTACCATATAAAAACTTACAAAAGTTAGAAGATCCTCCCCATCTTCCCCAATGCTGAGATTGACTTTTTGACCACTGATAATTTCTAAAACTAGCACGCCAAAACTATAAACATCTGATTTAACTGAAATATGCCCCCTCCTTGTGTATTCTGGAGCCATATATCCACTGAACACATGAAGAGGTAAGTTAATATTTGTTAATCAAGTAACTGAAATGTGTCCAAGGTTTCTTATACTTACAATGTTCCAGCAATTCTTCTTGTATCTGCTTGAGTTTGATCCCCTACAAATAACCTTGCCAATCCAAAATCTGAGATTTTAGGATTCATTTTTGCATCTAACAGAATATTAGATGCTTTTAAATCACGGTGAATGATTCGATAATAAGAGTCTTCATGTAGATAAAGAATCCCTTTAGAAATGCCTCCTATGATTTTGTGTCTAGTATCACAATCTAGTTCTAAACGCTTGATTGGATCTGCAAATTCACAAAAACAACAAGTTTAAACGCATCAAAAAATACTGCTTGCAAACAAAATATTTAAACATTTTCCGCCTTGTCATCCATGCCACAAGCCAAAGGGAATTTACTTCTTAAGCCAAAGGGAATTTACTTCTTAAACTGAACGTGAGTTGCAACCTTACCGAATATGAAGTGGTTGAGGCTTGAATTAGGAACAAACTCATAGATCAGAAGCCTTTCATTTCCTTCCAAGCAAAAACCTAGCAGCCTAACCAAATTCCTATGTTGAAGTCTTGCCATTAAACTAACTTCGTTCTTAAATTCTAGCTCTCCTTGAGCAGAACTTTCCAAAAGCCTCTTCACAGCTATTTCTTTCCCACTCAGAAGCTTGCCCTGATTGTCGAAACAATACTTAATGAACTTATCTTTGAAGAATTAGAAAAACTATATTTAACATAGTTTGTCAGAACTAAGATTTTTTATTTTTATTTTTTTCATTCTGTACGGATATAAACAAAATAAAGTCATTTTCAACCCATCAATTGTAATTACCTTATAAACAGCACCAAATCCACCTTGTCCAAGCTTGTTCATGCTGGAGAAATTATTGGTTGCCATTCTTATTGTGTCGAAGTCAAATTGCAAGGCTTCACCACTATTATCCCTATCTACGTTTTTATTGAAAAAAAAAAAAAAAAACGTGATTAGCATTGCCATTGTTTGGTCATTTTCCTTGGGGCTAACTTCATAGCTAAATCATTAACCATCTTTTTTTCTTTTTTGCCTTTTGCTTGAACTTTCTTAGCCTAGGCTACAACAGGACAACAATGTATTCACCAAGAACAAAAGTTACCTTCAATTTCCTGCTTCAGGTTCCTTCTCTTCTTTGACTTCTTCATCAGGTAAAAGATGCAGATGCAGCTACATATGTTAAGTATGAGAAAAGCAACAGCTGAAATGACTATAATAATGATAATCCGCGATGAATTCCCCTCTTTTCCTGCAAAATCCAGGCAGTCCTTTCAATAGTGCCACCATGTTTCAGAATTCTGGTGTTGACTCAGCAAACATTAAGCAGAGATACAGTACCTGGTACAACTTTGTGGGTATCATCTGAGGGCAAAGGAGACTGTGGTGGCACTGGCCGCGGCAATGGTGCTGGTGATGTTGTTGACGGCTCAGCAGGAGGATCATAGAAAGAATACGTCTCAAACCTCAAATTACAGTTAGGTCCAACTGCTCTGCCTCCAAGCCCTCCTTCACAACAAACTTTAATTTTGCCAATAGACAAGCAAGAGGTACACTGCTGCTGAGACAAATCAGGAGTGCACTGCACAAGTGCGTAAATCGGCAATGAATCCGAAGCTGCCACAGTCCCAGTTGCAAACTTGCGATGAGAATCACCCGATGAGGCTCTGCTTATCAGGGAATCCAACAGATTATTGAGGGTATAATTGAAAGCAGTAATATTTTTTGCCTTGTATCCATTCCACTTCTAGTGAAAATTAAAAGAGCTCCCCAGGATGCCATAGATAGAACGATCTGAGTATCGCAACATGCAATTGACATACGATAGAATTGCTGCCTTCTGGTTGGGACAGAGACTTTTGAGCCCGGCAGCAGCATCTTTGATGCAGTTAATGCAATCAAAAGGTATTACATCACCCCTACAGAGGGCAATTGCGTTAACTTGGTCTGAGTTTTGGCCAAAAGAAATATTGTAGAACCCATAATCATTTTCTGTGTCAGAGGTGAAGGAAGAGAAGATATGATTGAGGCTTGCCTGGTAGGTGCTCTTACTGGTGAAGTTTCCCCTGTCCAATAAACATTCTTTGAACTCCAGTTCTCGCTGGGAACTAGAGAGGGTAAGGAGGTGGATTAAAAACAGAGAAACAAAGAAAAACGTTCCTGCAAAGCCCATTATTAGAACCCCAATTACAGAAACTAGAAAAGATCAGCCTTCAGAATTCTCAATTGGAAAAAGTTTCCCTTTTTCACATTTCTCAAATTGTATTTCTCTAGTTGGGATGGTGCTCCAATTTTTTTTTTTTATTTAATAATCTTTTTGAAGGGAAAAAGTAGCATTGAAGTGCGGCTCAACTGGCATTGATTTGGCAATGACTTGACGCCGGTTCTACGGTTTTCCAAATATGGCGTGGACTGTTGGAGATGGGTCTCTCCTTGACGAGGTTGGGTTACTTCGTTCGTTCAAAGTGCCGGCTAGGTCAGGACAAACAAGACCTTATTACACGTTATAATGACTTAGTAATTCTATTAATTATGTAATTTAAGTGTTGGCTGGGCCAGGGCAAACAAGACCTTATTACACGTTATAATGACTTAGTAATTTTATTAATTATGTAATTTAAGTGCTGCTTGGGTCAAGACAAACAAGACCTTATTACACGTTATAGTGACCTAGTAATACTATTAATTATGTAATTTAATAATAAAATTATTTATATTTTTAATCATAAATATAAAATTCAATCTCTAATATCTATGTAAAAAAAGGCCTACTAATATATATTTCAATAAAAAATTACATATAGATTCATCTTTAAAAACTACTTTTGCATACAAAAAGAATCATGAAATGTATAAAAAAGAAGG